TGCTGGGCGAGGCACGGAAGCCTCGGAAACGGCACGGGGAGACTTTCCGAATTTCCCAGAGAGCCCAATACCCCCTAAATAAGGAATATATACCTTAAATTATGGGGTTCCTTAAAGGGTCTCTAGAAGGGTTCTATTAGGGACTTAAGGAATATACCTTAAACTATAGGGGCCCTAATATTATGATTTAAGGTATATTCCTTAATTGAGGGGTATTGGGCTCTCTGGGTTCGGGTGGGCCCTACCAGGGCTTCTTTAAGGGGGGCGGGGAGGGGGGTTTGATAAGGGCGACTTTTAGGATTCTATACGGGTCTTTCTACGGCTTAAAGCTTTGGGGTTTGGCTTTGGGGTATAGGGCTTCTTGCGATTCGAGAAGGGCTTCCGTAAAGGTTCTGTAGGGGCGCTGCACAAACACAGATAGGGGTTCTACCACACCTTCTATTGGGGCTCTACAAGGCATTCTAGAAGTGATTTTGTGCGATTGTGTAAGGGCCTCTATAACTGCACTCTTCGGGATTGTATGCAGGCTTTTATAAGAATTCCATCCAAGGGCTTTCATAAGGGTTCTGTCCGGATTTTTTCGTTTTGGAGACCTACGCGGCTTCTATGAGGGGTTATATAAGGGCTTCTGTAGCGGGTGCTTTTTTTTTCCGGGTTGCTACAGAGGGTTGTACAATGGCTTTTGAAGCGAAGGGTATCTGTCATGGTTTCGATAAATGTTTCTATAAGGCTTTCTCCAAGAGTCTGGACGAGGCTTCTATACGGGCTTCTCGAAGCATTTGGGGGTTTCCGAAAATAGGGGACCCTAATATAGTACCCTCAATAGTAGGATCCTCATTATAAGGACCCCAAAATAAGGTACCCTAATTTTCGGAAAGTCAGATTTCTATAAGAGGTTCTATCTTACGGTAGGGTTTCTATTGAGGCTTCTCTTGGAGGTCTGGTTTTAGTGCACCGGCAGAGCCTACTTAAACGATCAGGGGGTAAACAAGGTTGCTGCAGCTATACATTGCAAATTCATAACATATAATCCGAAATGAAGTATCACTTCAGGATAGAATGAACATTCCTAAACCAAAAGACCTTGTAACAGCCTGTATAAACCCTAGGAAAGCCTGGCAAAATCCATCAACGCCGAGAAGAATACATATATATATATATATACGAACGCAACATAATTCCTATCAGGGTGCTCTATGAGAGCATCTGGAGAAGGGGGAGCGCCGCCTACGTACGAAAGCTCTCTTTTGTAAGCGACCCAAGACCCCTACACCGCAAGTCCTCAGCCCAAAACCATAACAAACGCAAGACTCAGTACTAGGTTCCTGAGTAGTACCCTTTTGCCCTTTTGATTTTGGGGTCCCCTTACTAAAACCGAACACTAGGAAAAAGGGTACGCTTATTATTATGGGGTCACTCAGGAACCTAGACTATTGAAGCCTAATTAGTTACCACTACTATTCCTCAGGGTTGCTGTGTTAGTCTAGTATACCCCCAAAACCCTATTCTGATTATCTAGGCCCCTATGTTCCAATCCAAAACCCCGGGCCCCTAAACCTTACTACCCAGAGTGCCCAATACCCCTTCATTAAGGAATATACCGTAAATCATAATGTTAAGGCCCCTATGGTTTATGGTATATTCCTTATTTAAGGGGTATGGGGCTCTCTGGGTAAGCTTTCAACCATGGAGCCGTCACTAAAAGGTCCACGAACTGCTGGTGGAAGCCCCGCAACCTGGCCAGTGCCAACGCGCGTTTTTTGGAGTTGCTATAGACGCCAAAAATATAGTGAGTAACAGCATTACTCAGTCATATTTGTACTGCTATACTGAAAAAAGCCTATTCTGATTATTCTTATTTCTCAGTGTTCTTTTTAGTTATACTGCAAAGCCCTATTCTAACTATGATTGCTCAGCGATCCTTATTATCATGTTGCTGCAATACCCTGTTCTAATTACTGTTCAGGCCCCTGCTTTGGGCTTTGAGGTTTTGGGTTTCCAGGGTTGGGAATTTGCATTGGGTTTTTACGGGGCCGCACAGGGTTTCATCAAGGGGCTGTAGGCTTTTTTGACAGGCGGTTTAGAGGAAGCTCAGGGCTTGGAGGTGTTATGAAGCCCTAACCCCCCAAGTACCTACTATATAGGGCCCTAGGGGCTCTAGTACCCTATATAGGAGGTACCTGGGAGGTTAGGGAAAGTTTGGGTGGGTTTAGGGATTTTGCTGCTGCCTCTGTCGGTCGCTGTAGAGGTTGATAAGGTTCTACATTCTTAGGCTGCAACTCACGAAGACGTGCTTCCGGTTTGGAGTTTAATTTTAAGGTTTTAGATGTTGGTCATGCTTCGCCCCACTTCACCATATCCTGGCAAGAAGCCACGAGGAGGGTACCAAGAGGGTCCATATATACTACTTCCCATAACCTTGCATAATTTTGGTTTTTAGGACCTACCTGGACCCCTAAGAACCTCCCTTTTTGGGGTTCCTGATTCTGATTTCCTTATATAAGTCCTTAAAAAGGTCGGTTCTTTGGGGTATAGGTAACTCCAAAAAAGTAGTTCCGGGGGTAGTCGAGGGTCGGCTTTCAGGTTGCATGACCCAAGGTCTGGACTCAGGGCTTTAGGGCTTAAGGTTTATGGTTGGAGGTTTGGGCTCTATACGGTTTTAGGGTCTCTAGTGTGGGCTCTATACAGGTTTTGGGGTGTGTAGTTTGGGCTCTATACCGGTTTTGGGTGTCTAGTTTGGGCTCTATGCGGTTTTAGGGTATCTAGTTTGGGCTCCGTACGGTTTTAGGGTGTCTAGGATCTTGCTTCTTAAAAAAAATAGGCGCAGGCTTAGTGCTTTTTTTTCGAACTTGGATCGGGCCTTCGCGGCCTGCGTCCCCTGCGTCCGTCTCTGAGTCTGTGCGTGTTCGTGCGTTTAAACTTGTAGTATGTACCCATAGGCTCCTAAGTAGTTCCTTTTTGTGGTTCATATTTAGAATCCTATAAGGTAATCCCAAAAAGGAACGACTTAGGAGCCTATTGGTACAGGTCAGTGTTGATGGGCGTTGGCGGGACGGGGACTCAGGTGTGCACAGGGAGCCGAAAAAAACCCTGGTCAAGGAAGGAACTTATGATGTAAGGTACCTGTAGTCTCCATTGTAGTTCCTTTTTTTGGTTTAACCAATTATATCTTAAGGTTTTTATAAGGTATCCCCCAAAAGGAACTACAATGGAGACTATAGGTAATGTCTGAGCTTCGGCGGGTTTCGGATGATGTTTCTCCTCTGCGTGTGCGCCTATCGTCTTGGCTTTGTTGAGGACTTGGACATGTTGAATCTTGGAAATGGCTTCTTGAATTTATGACATTCTGCAAGTCTACACAGTGCAGCCTCAACTTAAGCTTTAATGCTCTGTGTGTATGTATATATATATATGTATATACACACAATGTGTGTGCGTATTTTCTATATAACAAATATATATGTATATACATATACTTTGTTTTTACACACACACACACAAACACACCTGTGGCCAAGGCACCCCAGGCGCTCAGGAGAGGTTCGCGGGCGACTGCGCCCCTCTGCAGCAGGAATCAACTCGGTTTCGCTTTTTTTTTGCCGGGGCCTGAAACCCTAAACCCTACCTGAACCCTTAAAAACTTAAGAACCTCCCTTTTTAGGGTTCCTGCATTATGATTTCCTGATATAAGTCCCTAAAAAGGTAAGTTCTTTGGGGTCTAGGTAGACCCTGAACCGGCTCCGGTTTCAATGGGATCTTTCATTGTAGTACTAAGACCCCCGTACTGCCCTGAGAGCTGAGTGGCTTTGTAATGGCTTTGCTGCCTCCTGTGACCGCGGCTGTTCAGGCAACGGCCGCCTCTGTGCCGTCCCTGGCCGCGCAGAGGAGTTGCGGAACACGCGATATAAATTTTCGTAGTAATTAGTGCAAGGTTTTCTGGCTTTTCCACAGAAATCGTATGAATATTATGGTCTACAAGGGGAGAGGGTAGTTACTCAATTCTCCGACCGATGTATGGGGATCTTGATGTTTCTTTAGGTTTCCTCTCCTCGCATGATGTGGTCTTTTGATTTTGAACCCATAACCGGCGGGAATCGATATTTCCCAGGAACATTGGCCGTTGTCTTGGATGTAACCGAACAAGCGAAGCTTGGGTTGATTACGGTACAACCGCAGCCTAGGTACCGATGCTCACTCAGGTGCCAAAACCTACCCTACCAAACCCTAAGCCCTGAAACCTAAGAAGCGAATCCTAACCCTAAACCCCTAAGCCCCAACCCCCTCAAAGGACTCGTCATATTTTTAAGGCTTTTGGGCCCTAAGACCCTATGATGTAAGGCTTTTGGGGGCTCTTTTGATGCTACGGGTTATGTCCCTGGACGCAAAAAAACGCTACAAGCCCAGCCAGAGATCCCAAGCAGCCACACCTGCATCCTAAACATGGCGGCGCCCCGCGCGGCCGCTACAATTCTGGTGCTGGCGGAAGCTCCGGGTGAGGCCAAAAGGGGGGGGGGGTGGTCCCGGAGAGTCCCATAACTATCCACTATAACATATAGGGTTTAGGTTTTAGAGTTGAGGGTTTATATTCAGGAATCTACCTGCCTTGGTTCAGGACCTTCCGAACATGTTGACATATTTTCCCGTAAGTCTGTGAAAGGGTTTTGGACCGGCAGTGTTCGTCTAAGCTTCCCGCAAACGGTGTTCGGGAGGCTTAGGGTTTACAGGGTTGAGGGGTTCAAGACATAGAATTCGCACGTGAGGACACATTCTTGGGCTGCAGTATAGTTAAGATGTGGAACTTGATGATCGACAAATCCCTCGTTGTCTGGCTTGCTAACAAAGGAACCCTCCGTTTGTGAAGCCTCCATCTACCCACACCCCTTCATGGAAGAGTATAGTCCTGAAGTCGCATCGATACGGGGCTTCTGCGACATAATGTGTTTCCAGGAGCATTCCATCATGAAGCAGCGTTGGGATCTTTGCGCCACTGTTGCGAGGCGATGAAGGTTCTGATGATCAAGCGCCACTCGAGAGCTCGGTTCATGGCCAACACCTACGTTTTCCCAGGACGCGGCGCTGTCGATTCCTTACAGGCCCTAACCCCCCAGATACCTACTATATAGGGTACTAGATCGCCTAGGGCCCTAGATAGTAGGTACCTGGGGGGTTAGGGAGGGCTCTAGCGTACAGGCCCAATGACCGGTAACAAAGCGCAGCTTCGACGTCTTTACGGCTTGATCCCTACATGGCATAGGAGCCATCAACTCTTCCAGGGTTCATTTTGTCAACATAGTCCTCAAGCTGAGGGAATTTGTTCGAAGGCTATCAAGGCCGAATTTTGGGAGTTTGAGCTTGAGTTCTGCATCCTATCCGAGTTCAAGGAAGATTTTGTCGCGGAAGGCTTCGACAGTCGGGTGCGGTGCAAGGTAGACCCCTGACTCATAAGCCCCTTCATTACGTAAGGGCCTTCACGACACAGTAGGATACATCTACTGTAAGCCTCATTTTTAAGGGTTCGCAGTCTCTTCATCCAGGAGCTACTGTAGTCCTGAGACCGGAAGGGTGCATGCCGCACCTTTTCGCACTCGACTTTGTGACTCTTATAGGGTGCGAGGTGTTGGTCTTGGTTCAAGTATGAGAGGACGTGCGAGGTCTTGACGAACAGGGATGTCAAGAGGATTTCTAGTCATAATCTTTCCGATTCAAGTAACCCCTGTAAGCCCGTTTTTCTATGCTTTTCAGGAGGTTGCGTGGACGACGCTGATCTGGAGCATGCCTCAAAGCTCCACTCGTCAGAGACCTTGGCCGAATACCGCGTAGCTGCCCTTCGCGAGCTATGGGAAGACGCTTCGTCAGATTTGGAGAGTCTGTTGGTTGAGGGAGTTCCAAGGTGAAAGGTTGAAGTTGCTTTCCCGCCCGCAGCAATTTGATTTCAGGTGAGCCTTTTGCTTTCACTGCATCTGTGCCTTTCAGCTGAAGCCTCCAGCACCGTACCAGGAGACTGGTGTCCACTTTGATGCCGATGGAACTGCAGGCGTGGGGTCCGCCTCACCAGCCCTAGGCGCGGGGGAGAAGCAGTGACTGTTGTAGAAAACGCCTGTTGTCTGCAGGCGCTGTTTCCTCGTGTCATGTCTATCTGTTATCTGTCTCTATCTGTCTCTTCCTCTGTCTCTCCCTCTCTCTCTCTCTCTCTTTCTCTCCCTCCTTCTCCCTCCTTTTCTGATACAAATATGTATGTATGTGTATATATATATATAGAGAGTATATGTGGTGTATTAATATACCTTCATATTTATACCCAATTATCTTAATTATATATGTAGGTTATTTGCTATTTCATTTTCAGCCTCCTACTACTGCTGCTGCTACTACTACTACTACTACTACTGCTACTACTACTACGACTACTACTACGACTACAACTACTACTACTGCTACTGCTACTGTTACTGCTACTGCTTCTACTACTACTACTACTACTACTACTACTACTACCTGCTATGGCACTGCTACTGCTACTGCTACTGCTACTACTACTACTACTACTACTACCACTACTACTACTACTACTACGACGACGACGACGACGACGACGACTACGACTACAACTTCTACTACTACTGCTACTGCTACTGTTACTGGTACTGCTTCTACTACTACTGCTACTGATACTGCTACTGCCACTGCTACTGCTACTGCTACTACTGCTGCTGCTACTGTTACTGCTCCTGCTTCTACTACTACTACTACTACCACCACCACCACTGCTACTTACTGGTGTTATAATTTTTCTAGCTGCTCTTATTACAGTCACTGTTACCAAAAAATGTTTTTGTGATTGTTATGATGACGATGATGATGGTGATGATGATGATGGTTATTATTGTTACTATTCTCATGAGTATGGCCATTACTGTTAGTGTTACTAGTACGCATGTAGTATACACATGTCTATATAGCCGCTTATTCCCTTATGTATCTAGTTTTTTCATTTAATTGCTTATGCTGTTTTCATTGGTATTGACATTGATATTGGTAATGGTATTGGCACTGATCTCCTTTCCTGGTACTGATATGGATGCCTTGATGTACTCTACAGACACTTTTTCATGTTGGAGATGTACTTCGAGCATCTCCGTACAAACTACTCTGGATGATGGACCGCTTGCCAATTCGGTCAATGTTGTGGGAGCCAATATCGGCAATTAATGATGGCACGCAAGATTGTCAAAATTTTGCAAGTATGGTTTTAGATAGGATAGAACTGATGACTGACCAGACCATGCGCAGTGCCAGTTGCCCTCGCCGACTTCATGTCAGTAGCACTTGTAGCATTGGCAGCAGCAGCAGCAGGAAGCAGCAGATGCACTCTTTCTGTCTCTGCATCTCTCCCTCTGACTCTCTCTTTCTCTCGCTTCCTATCTTCGTCATTGTGAAGACTTTCTGCGGTATGCAAATCGGTTAAATGGCCAACTGTGATATCAGGCAGCAAGGTCTTCACAGACGCTTACGGTTGAACTGTTTTGCAGTCAGCCTTTGCAATTCGTACTTCTCGCTAGCGACAGCATTGCCGTGGTTGCTTAGATTTTTCGTTGTTTGTGCTGGCTCGTATGCTCACTGTTGCCATGCCCGACGGAAGTCTAATGATCTAGCCGACAGACCAGCAGACCAGCAGGCGTAAACTTACTAAGAAAGGCTGTAGTAGGTGATCCAGCGGCGTACTTTGGGCTTTAGATTTAAGGGATTGGTTTATAGCCACAGCACAAGAGGCTCCTCGAGCCCTGGTTGCTGGTTTTTGCTCTTTATTCAACGGTCCGGTCAGGTGTGGCCCAAGTCGCTCGGCTCACGCCGTTTGCGCACTGGGTGACCCCGAAGCAGGCTGGGACCGGGAATCATACCCTAAGGGTCCATGTACCCAAATAGTATACTAGGTTCCTGAGTAGTGCCCTTTTGCATTTTCTATTTTGGGGTCTCCTTATCAAAACCGAATACTAGGAAAAAGGGTACCCATATTATTATGGGGTCACTCAGGAACCTAGTATATACTTTGGCCTTAAAGTAGTCCTTATACAGGGACTTTGAGGCCAAAGTATATACTATTTGGTTGCATGGACCCTTGGGGATAGGAGTGTAGAAGGATTTCACAAGGTTTTGTAGGGTGTAAGCAGGGTTTCTTCGGGCTGCTGTGGGGTGTAACTCATTAGCAGCCCAAACGCAAACCCTTTCCCAAACCCCAAATCCCCAAAAAATCCGAACCATATCAACCTGAAGTAGGGCTATAGACAACCGGTACAAACCAACAGATTCCGGGCTGGTAGTGTCCTTGGCGGAATCTCAGCTCCTAGCGCTATCCGGTTCCATGGGACCAGATTAACCCTAAGTTAAACCCTATAAACCCGAAGCCCTAAAGCCCAAACCCTAAACCCTTCTGATTGAAGAGAAACACCCCAGACCCCGACCCTCCGCTTGTCATAAGCTCTGTATAAAACCCGATACAGGATTTTTACAACCCTAAACTTAAAATGTGAACTCTATAGACCCTAAAGCCTAAAGCCCTAGAGCCTGAACCCGAACCCCCGTCGCTGAAATGATGTACTCATCAACCTCAGGGTAATTACCCGACCCTCCCCGACTGAGGAGAAGTACCGCCCCTAAAGCCCCTAAACCCCAAACCCTGGACCCTGAGGAGAAGTACCGCACCTAAAGCCCCTAAAGCCCCAAATCTACATCCTGAGGAGAAGTACCGCCCCTAAAAACCCCTAAACCCCTAAACCCTAAGCCCCAAAATCTGCACCCTGAGGAGAAGTACCGCTACGACACCCGGTTCTTTCTGACCCAAGCGGCCAACTCTGCCGCTGCCTCGCTGGCTGTCAGAGGCGATCCGAAGGCCCGTTAGGGTTTAGGGTTTAAAGGCTTACCTAGTATCTGTGACCCAGAGACTCCAATATCCCTTAATTAAGGAATATACCTTAATTCTAATAGGAACCCTAATAAGATTTAAGGTATATATTCCTTCATTAAGGGATATTGGAGCATCTGAGAGTTTAAAGGATTACCTAGACCCCAAAGAACCTACCTTTAAGGAAATCATAATAATACCTAGACCCCAAACCTACCTTTTTAAGGACTTATCTAAGGAAATCATAAGGAGGAACCCTAAAACGGGGAGGTTCTTAAGGGTCCAGGTAGGGCTTGGGCTTTAGGGTTTGGGGTTTAGGGTTCAGGTCGTAGGGTTTCGAGTTCATACGGTTCAGGATTCGGTTTAGAGTTCATAGGGTTCAGGATTCGGTGTAGAGTTCAGAGTTTAGGGTTTAGGGTTTAGGGGAGCTTAGGGCGAACGGTTTCTGGGCTTTGAGGCTTGCTGGGTTCAGAAGGTTTAGGGCTTATATAGGGCTTGGGGATGAAGGGCGACAGGGTTTATCGGGCTTATTTAGGGCTCTGGGATTAAGGGCTTCAGGGTTTATCGGGCTTGTGGGTTTCAGGATACTATAGGGTTACGCCTTTTAGGGGAACGGGAGTCAGGGGTCTCTTTCGTATCATTTTCACATTGTCCTAAACCCTAAAAGTCCATGCACCCAAATAGTATATACTCTGGCCCCAAAGTACCTATATAGGGACTACTTTTGCGGCTCCTGAGTGAGCCCATAATAATAAGGGCAGCCTTTTCCTAGTATTCGGTTTTAATAAGGAGACCCCAAATACAGAGGCCAAAAGGGTAGTACTCAGGAACCTAGTATACTATTTGGGTACATGGACCCTTAGGGAAAGGACCCCAGGATGGCTCGAGTCAGCTGGCAGAGCTGGCCGATGAAGTTTAGGGCTTAGGGTTTAGAGTTAGGGTGGAGGGGTTTGGGGTTTAGGGGTTCAGGGTTTAGGGTTTAGGGTTTAGGGGTTTAGGGGTTTAGGGTTTAGGGTCATCTGAAGCCTGAAACCGAAAGCCGCCTGCCGCACAGAAAGCCTTTGCAAACTTTCCCCGCGCACCCGAAGTGCTGAGCCCTATACCCGGCCTGAGTTTTCATATTTTTGCGATTTAGGGCAAAATCCGAGCGGGAATTTCGTAAACCGGCTTGATACGACTTCTTCTTACGGGACCTTGAAGCCTCTGGGAGTAAGAGCCTTTGGGAAAGTGGAGAACTCTCATCCATGACCCTCAACCCTAAACCCTGTTTCTCGAAGAAAACGCACTTTCTAGGACTCACACCTCTGACAAATGAACAGGTAGGGTTTAGGATAAATCCCTACAGAATTAAGCCCCATGAATGCAGGATCTCCATGTAAAAAGGCTTATGCTTGTGCCCTGCTTTGATCCCTAACTTTGCGGCCAGGAGGTGGACGACGTGCGCTGGGTGTCTCCATGGGAAGCACTATCACTTCACGCCTCGAAGGATGCCAAGCATTGCATCAGATGGGATTCGAGGTTTGCGGCCCACGGCCACTATCAGTTTTATTATTCTATTATATAATATATGTTTTTATTCTTCTATTATATATGTTTTTATTGTTTGATTATTTGATTATGAATTAAATGGAATTCGAGGTTTGGGGCCTAGGGTCACGATCAGGCCTAGAGAGAGCCCAATACACCTTAAATAAGGAATAGACCTTCAGCTATAGGGGCCTTAATATTATGATTTCAGGTATATATTCCTTCATTCCCTTATAGAAACCCTTATAGAGACCCTTTATAGATCCCTCTAAGGAACCCTCTAATTTAAGGTATATTCCTTAGGTAAGGGGTATTGGGCTCTCTGGGCGCCTGATAGACCATTTAAAGATGTCAAAGCGTTGAACCTAACTCTCGAACCGTAAGGCCGGTTTAGCATTTAGGGGTTTAGGGGTTTAGGGTTTTAGGGTTTAGGGGTTTAGGGGTTTAGGGGTTTAGGGTTTAGGGTAAGGCCTTCGACCGTGAATCCTTCGGAGCTTTCTTGCGGGATCAGGGGACTTCGCAGGAGAGGAAAGATCTACCTTGCTCTTGCAAGTGATGTCAAGTGATCATCGCCACATTCCTTCCGTGTGAACCTTACTTGCGGTTTAGGGTTTACTAATCCCCAGAGAGCCCAGTACTCCTTGAATAAGGAATATCTACCTTAAATTATGGGGGGGGCCTTAATATTATGATTTAAGGTGTATATATATATATATAATATTCCTCAATTAAGGGGTATTGGGCCCTCTTGGTTCCCCCTAAAGCACCAGTTACAAGTCATACAGACCCTGGAATACCAGAGACACCCCTACAGTTCCCCAAGCCCACGTAAGGGTGGGGGGGGGTTCCCATAACCCGAGACCCTCAACCCTTAACCGTTAAACCCTGAAGCCCTCAACCCTTAAACCCTAAACCCCTAAGCCCTAAACCCTTAAACCCCAAGCCCTTAAACCCTAAACCCTCAAGCCCTCAACCCTTAAACCCCAAACCCTAAAACCCTGAAACCCCTTAAAAAACCCACTAAACCCCTAAACCCCAAACCCTAAATTACTAAAACCCCTTAAACAACCCACTAAACCCCGAACCCCCTAAAACCCTCAAACCCCTAACACCTAAAACCCTTCAACCCCAAATCCTAAACTACTAAAACCCCTGAAAAACCCACTAAAACCCCTAAAACCCCTTAAAAAACCCACTACAAACCCCCAGGACTCGAACTTCCGCTTGCCGCCTCCCACCTTCCTGATCATGCAGTCTCTCGTCTTGCCACTGGGCACGAATTTGATTTGGGGTTTAGGGTTTTAGCGAGAGTTGTCGTTTACAAATCTTTCTGCATTCTTCAGGTGGGTCAACAAGCGACCCCGGGCCGTGATAATCAATTAGTCAACGGGCTGCCGCGGGGCCACGGGAAGCCAACCCCCCTTCTCTTGTAAGAGTAATTTTAGCAATGTTTAGGTGCGCCCCCCCTCCTCCCCATGTTCCCGAAAGCCTTTACTGCTGCCCTAGAGCTTGCCATAATGCGAGAGTGTTTATGTCCATGAGCGGATGCGGTCGTTCAGATCGAGAAACCTAGCCTCTCAATCACGCTGTATGTGCCCCAACTGGCCTGATCGCGCTGCTCCCTTGCTGTTCCGACCTTGACCTAGCTTTCGTAGGCCACACCGACAGCTGTCGCCCGGGTCATTCTTCACTTCATCCTGGAATTCGCCCTGCTGTTCAGGAACTGATCTATGCTATTCCATCAGTTGCTGTCCGGACCTCCTTTCGGGCCCTCCTCGTTTCGATCACTCCACTATTTCTTGCATCAGGGCTTCTAAGCGAAACGGTGCCTCGCAGAATTGTCATAGCGGGAGGAGCAGGTGGGCATTGGAGCCGACGATGCCAAAGCAAGCGCCAGGGCAGCTATGACATTGAATCGCAGCAGCCTCAACGAGATATGTGGCAAGCTCTTCTTTGTGAAAGCTGCAGCCACAGGTGGTAGCTTTGCCCGCTTGCTGCTCTCATCTGTGGACCACGGAAGAGATGATATCCTTTTGGCCATATGCCGCCTGTACTTTGCTCCGCCACTGCCCTAGCAAACAGCACTGAGCTTGTGGAGTTTAGGATGGTTTTGTCAGTGAACCTTTCGATTTGCGGTCTGAGCTGAAGCAATTGCTGAACTTGCTGAACTTGCTGGCTCAAGCCTTTGGATATCTTTGGATCAAGCTTTTTCGCCTTGGACACCTGCTCGGAGCCTTTTTCACGGTGAGCATGTGCGTTCGGAAACTCTTGAACCTTTGGCCGCTCTTGCTCAGTCAGCTGCTTTGGCACTCCAGATTTACCATGGCTTCAGAGACTTGTGAGTCCGAGGCGGCAGACTCTTCGATGCTCCAACGGCAACAAGACCTTTACAAGGCAATGGACGGCACTGAGGAGGCTGCGGACTTTCGTCCTCGCCCCTATCGTCTCCACCGCCTGTTCCGTCGCCACAGCCCGTTCCGGCCCTACCGGCCAGCTCGAAAGCCCCACATTGTACTCATCTTGGGAGATGACTATGGGTGGGCGAACCTTGGGGTGCACCGAGAGAAGGCTGTGACACCAGAAGAGAAGCAGGCACAGAAAGAAACGCAGACGCCACAGATGGATGCTTTAATCAAGGATGGTTTGCTGTTGGAGCGGCACTATGCCTACAAGATTTGCTCTCCTTCCCGATGCTCCTTACAGAGTGGGCGCCTGGCAGTGCATGTCAACACTGTGAACACAGGCGTCAGCTTTTGGAATGTTGGGGACAATGTCTCAGGCTTTGCAGGGATCCCACGCAACATGACGGGCATCGGTCAGAAGATGCAGCGTGGAGGATATGCCACGCACATGGTGGGCAAATGGGATGCAGGCATGGGCACACCTGAGCACACGCCCTTGGGCAAAGGCTATGACTCTTGGCTCGGCTACTTTCAGCATGCCAACGACTATTGGCAAGAATCCATGCCTTTCGCATCCACCGGAGATCTTGATATTTGCCTCAACCAGTTCAGGGACTTCTCCAAGTACAACAGCTCCTACATAGGTCCTGTGGATCGTACCGTCGCTGCTGAGTTGGGCTGCGATTGGGATGTGCGGCACGATGAGTTGCAGCCCGATGTCTATACGGAGGTGAACGCCACAGGGTGCAATAAAAACGATACCAGCTACTGTTTGCCAGATAGTTGCTATGAAGAGGCCATGTTCAACAAGCAAGCCTTAAAGATCATTGAGGAACATGACCTCACGAAGCCACTCTTCCTCTTCTACGCCCCCCATTTGTTACACACTCCCTTGCAACTTCCTCAGTCCTACCTTGATCAGTTTGAAGAGGGCGATCTCAAAGATCCGGAGGTTCCATGGACCTCCAATCGGCGATTGTATGCAGGGATGACGAAGTACCTGGATGACATGGTTGGGAGCGTGGTGGAGGCTTTGAAGGGAAGATCCGAGAAAGGAGGGACGATGTATGACAACACGCTCATAGTCTTCACCGCCGACAACGGTGGTCCCGTCTATGAGCCGGGCTCGGCCAACAACCACCCACTGAAAGGTGGCAAGTACAGTGACTGGGAAGGTGGGGTTCGCACCAATGCCTTTGTCTCTGGCGGCTATTTGCCCAAACACCGCCGAGGGAAGAAATTCCATGGTGTGATTTCCATCGCGGACTGGTATGCAACCTTCTGCGAGTTGGCCGGGGTGAGCCACTTCGATGAGGAGTCGGAAGAAGCGAACCGTTACTTGGTGGCGAACGGGCAGCCCTTGTTACCTCCAGTGGATGGTCGGCCACAGTGGAAGAACCTCTTGGAGAACACCAATGGCCGTAAAGATGCCTTGCACTTGAGTGAGAATGCGTTGTTACGTTTTCCATATAAGCTGGTGACAGGCAAACAAGAGTATAGCTTTTGGCAGGGAGTGCTATATCCCAATTGCACCACAGTCGACGACTTGAAGGATGGCCCACTGTTCTCAGACATGCATTTGTTTGGATTGGATCTTTATTTGAGTGACAACCAGACTCAGCAAGATGAGTTGACATACACCCAAGACTGTGGTGATTCGGGATGCCTCTACAACGTGGAGCTGGACCCAACCGAGCACAAAGATCTCTCAGGTGATCCTAAGTATGCTGATGTCCTTTATGCACTTCAGCTGGAGCTCTACAAATTGAACCTGGCGAATTTCAACCCAGATCGTGGTGCTCCGGCCCTACAGGCCTGTTTGCAGGGCGCTGACTTGGGTGGCTTCTATGGGCCATTCGTGGATGTGACCAACTTTTACAAGGGTTGGAGCTTGGATCTTAAGCAGAAGGAGGAGGCGGAGGCCGTGAAGTTGGAGCTCACGGAGTTGAACACGACCTTGCAGAACAACTCGGAGGCGTGGATCACGAGCTTCACTGAGAGCTATGGTCTTGAATCCCTGGCGGAGCTTTTCGGAGGGGGGAGTGGCCTCGACAACTGCTCGAATTCGACATAGTTGGAAGTCCAAATCCATCACAAGAATGGTGTTTCAACTTTTGGTTGAAGTGTTGAATCACTTTTTTGTTTTCAATCAAGCTTGGGCGCTGGTAGCTGCGCCCCATGTTTGTCTCCGCTGCGCCCCATTGCAACCAGTCAGAAACGATGCGAGTTTTCAAACGATTAGATTAATGACTTCGAAGTGCTTGCTTGCATGCACCAGGTCGGCATTTTGCTGTAGACGCTTTCTGACACTGCACTTTGCACAGCCCTTGTCCATTGCTCTTTGTAGCATTTTGGTCGTGTCGTTTCTTGGGACTCTGCCTTATATGGGTGTACTGGTCGTATGAGGGGAGTCTGGGAATGACACTGCCATTGTGATGTGGGTTGATCGTTGATCGTAACTCCGGTGTTGTCTTAGGGCTTGGCAAAGTTATGATCTGATCAGCCCCATCTAGCACAGTTCTGTCATCCTGATTGTTCCAATGTGAACCTCGCTAGTGGGCATAGATCCTCAGCCATGCGAGAGGGAAAAAATGACTTCGAACAAAGCTCACAAACAAGTTCATGTTGGAGCGTCCAGACAACTTGACCTGCTTGCCTCACAATCAGGGGGCCACATCATGCCCAGGTCAGATGGCACAGCAGAGGCTGAATGCGACCCGCCGCAGGAGGTCGCTGACACCAGGCACTGCTTCAGATTCCACTTCCCTGCGCTGACAGGTGCTACAAACTCTGGCCTTTGCCACGCCGCTGGCAGAACGCTTGTTCCCAACATTCAGAGGGCTGATGAGGCAGCTGACCGTGCAGTTGGGCGTTTGTCTGAGCATTTTCGTACTGGCCCTGGCCCCGCAGGAATCGGAGTGCCCAGGACGTGTTCGAAACGCTCGGTCCGCCAATGCTGGCAGCGCCAGAGGCGATCAGACTCAGAGTTTTCTGCTCGGTCACAGGCTTGGACGATCTTGAAAGCAGCACGAAGCATAGGGTCTGAGTCTTATCCGTCAGCTGACTCCCAGGTTTATGCTCTGCAGCTGCAACCGATGTACGACTACGAGTTCTTTGGAGCTGCCAACCCTCTGAGACTTGACGAGGCATGCGCCTAAACAAGGTTTTTGAAGCACTGTTGTCAGGAACCTCGCAGTTTCCGCCGCTAGTTCCGAGCAGCGCGTTGAAACAGGTACGGGAGCTACTCCCCTTCCTCAACCGTCTCACCTATCACTTCGTGACCACGATGCCGGACCAGGCGTTCCACCTGCATCCCCTCCTTACAAAAGCGCCTTGCGCAGACTCAGGCGGCGTTGCTGCCTGCAGCTAGAGCACTCCGCACCAGTCTCACTTCTTTGGCTTGACGCTAAGACTAGCTTGGGTGCATGCTGTAACCAGCGGGTAAGCGGCTCAGATCTGCCTGCTGTACCACCGGCATCGGCGAAAAGCGATCTTGGAGAATGACAGCGTCCATGCCCCAGCCTTCGTGCATGTTTGATTGCACTCAGTGTCACTGGGGATGAGTCCATTTGATTAGATGCACGCTTCCGAAAGTAAGAACGGCCGCGACTGTCTGCAAAAGTTGGCGGAACTTCTTGCTGACATGCTATAGTAATTTTCGCGCTGTCCGGGACATTCCGGCGGGTTCGCAAAGCATTGAATGCATGGCGGCCCTCTTCGCGGACTCCGCTGCCTGCCCGAATCTGTCAAAGGCACAGACTCAGACCGGGGCAGCAGAGAAGGTGTGATGTTGTGGGGGAAGCAACGGCCGTTGTTGACTCTCTGCACGCGGCACATTTCCGCATGCGCTTTGGCACACGCGGTGCTCCGCTGGCCCGTCTGAACACCAAAGCCACCCAAGCACGCCATATACAACTGACCACGTCCGACATTTCCGAGATTTTAAATTGAGGCATGGATCATTCCAGAGTCCCGTGCGCTGCTACAACCTCAGTGGAAGGCTGCAGCCAGCTGACTGGCCGTGTTCTTGCTTGTCAGGTTGCGCCGTGCTCCTTCCGCCATCAACTTGGGAGTAGATGCCCCGGATGAAGCAATGGAGCCGGCAGATGACGAGGCTGGGGTCGCGGGGATTTGACAGCTGAAGCGGACGAACGACTTGACAGGACGAGGCCATGGAGATTGATGATGAAGGGCCGCAGTCGCAGGCACGCTGCGCATCGAAACGGTTCCTTCTTTTGAAAAGAGCTGAATTTAAATCTAACCTTCCGTCGCCTCAAGAAAGGTATGCCACTGAGGGCTTTCCTTGGTGCAATCTCCGACGAACAATTCAACTATCACATTGGGATCTTAGGAGTTTTCTTGCTGCTAGTCAGTTCGTATGCTGCCAGAATTCCCTCATTAGCCGTGTGGCTCTAACATTAGTTCGAGTAATGGGTTGGAATTCCTGCAGGCACCGGAGCGAAGCAGCGTGCCCAGTGCTAGCGCAGACCTCGAAGAGAAGCTTCTGTCACGTACTATGCACAAAGGGCCGCCTACAGAGGTGCGACATCCTCGCAGACCTTGGCTGAACGTGCATTACAAGCGACACTGGCTGAGATTCCTCATGTCCTGCCTTTTGAGGAGCAAGAAACCGGCTGTAGCGACTGTAGTGTGCCAAGCCCAAAATACGGCATGAGCTGCAGAGCTGTTTCGTCTTGGGAGGACAGAGTCTCCGTGCTGCACAGCGCCATCCTGGCCGATCAGGCATCTGCAAGCCGCGAGGCTAGAGACATCCAGACGCTAATGCAGCGCGTTTGGTCAGGAAGAGAGGCGTGCCTACCGTGGTCCTTGGGGCCCCTCTGCCGCGAACTGAGTCGGACGACTGCAGAACCCAAAGGGTGTCGCCAGTTTGACACGTTGCTACGCTGTCTGTGGACCCAGGCCATGGAGAAACATCAGATTCGTCGAAATTTCCTTGTGGAGGATGGTATAGCTGCCTTTGAAGGCACGATGCATTGCGTGACAATTCGCAACCGAAACTGCAGTCGCACACGCTGGCCACGCTGTAGGCCTGGATGATGAACAGGGCCTTCGCGACACGTTTCGAGTCGAGTTCATCGCGCCAGACGGCACTCCGGAAAGCGGAGTGGACGGAGGTGGACTGTTCAAGGCGACATGCCTCCATGGTTAGCCCAGTCTGCCCATTCCAGGATCTCTCTTGTACCCTTTTGGGTTTGCCAACTTGCAGATGGACCTTGTCCACCCATATTCGAGATTGCAAGGAGTTTATGGTGCATATCTGCCGTGAGATGTTTGATCCGGAGTGCCGGCCTGAGATGGAAAGCACAAGGGGAGTAGCACAAGTCTAGGAAGCTTTCATGGAAGACCTCTTTGCTGAGCGACCTGTTGACTTGCAAGATCTTGCAAGGTTCGGCCTTTTCAGCGCGACGTCTGATCACACCCTCTACCCTGCCACTTCAGCCTTCGCGAAGTACTGGCAAGCTGCTGACTTGTACACATTTCTTGGCAAAGTCGTGGGAAAGGCGCCTGCCACACAACTGCAGCTGTCATCGGGCGTGATGCACTGGCACAGGCGATATACGAGATGTTCCTGCTGGAACCGCAGTTCAGCAGGGTTTTCGTAAATCGGTTACTCGGACGTGTGAACGAGGCAGATTGTAGAATCATTGTAGAAGGTTGCGATTCCTTGCGCAGGAGCCCCACCCGAAAGTGCATACCGTGCCAGGTGGACGATGTGGCTTCCTTGGACAAGGAATTGCACAAAAACATGTTGCAGATCAAGGCCAGAAGCAGCGGCCGCCCAAACGTATCGCGTATCTCGCCTGGCCGTGTTCTTGCCAAGCGAAGATCAAGCTGCAGGAATGCCCAGATGTCGAGGGGCTTGGCATTACGTTCAGCCGGCAGCCTAAGACATAAATTCCGATGACTTGGGGCCCTGGGCATTCAGACGATAGACTTCTTGCAGTTGAGGCATCTCTGTCACCGAGAAAGGCGTGCACAAGGCACGGCTTCTCGCATGTCAATCTCGGGGGTTCAGGATCCTGCCTTGTTGTTACGAGTTCGATCAACAAGTTGGCTGAACTGACGCTGCTTCCGGGCGGACGGCGCCACTGTAGGAGCTTTGCACGGAGCGCGGGGGTAAAGAGATGCTTGTGAAGTTGCGAAGCGCCCCGGGGGGAGGGCGGGGGAGGGGGGTTGAAACAGCCAGACGAGCTGCTTGCACGCTGCTTGTGAGTTAAGTCCAGAGCCGTCAGCCATGCCCCACAGGTTCTGGATCAGAGCACGGCCGGTGGCACTGGCGTATACTGTAAGCGACACTTTCATGTCATGCCAAGGTGGCCAACAAATAAACTTGTGGCATTGTCAACTGAAGTGTGAGCCGAAGGTGAACAAGACTCGTTGCCTATTGAAGGAACGCCCTGCAGCCCTGAGCTGCTCCGTTTTCACGTTTTCCTGCCCTCAAGAGTAGGTCCTACTGACAAATGGCACATCGGAGGACATCGATCTCATTCCTGGTGGCAGTGATATTCCTGCTCCTGACCTCGGTTGCCTTACATGCACATGCCATGCATTGGATGTCTGGATGGAGTCAATGTGTCAGCTTAGGTCACGCGCGAGAATCTGACACGCTACCTGCACCTGATGGCCAACTTCAGGTGTGTGAGTCGATGTCAGACATGCCACAGCGGCTTCCCGGCAGTATTGCCATGCATTGCCATTGGCTGGATGTATCTTGCCAGGACGAACGTGCAGTTTCAGCGGCACACTACTGCCTTTCTGAGCGGGCTGCAGAAGGTGCACCCCAAGCAGAGGAATGCATCACAGTTTACAGTCTTCGGAGTTGTCTGTCCTTCCCACCCACGTGTCGCTCGCTTGCCTGCTTGAGCAGGTGCTCCCTGTGGCTTGGTTAAAGATGTTTGATCCTTATGTGCCTCCCTCAGAAGCTTTCGAAATCTTTCCTGTGCGCCACATGTGCCCACTTAGGAGCTCAACACTCTGATCTCCGGTTCTACCGCCGGGTTTGACGTCAAGGATCTACGTGCCAACACCGTCCTCTCCGGGGGCTATCAGGTGCACCGAGGGTACACAGAATGCTTTCGTTTTTCCTTGTCCGTTTTTTTTGTCAGCCTCTCTTGGGGGTAAAACATGGTAAAGCAGTGGAAGGGGCGTATGCTAGGACGACAGCCCATGCGTTGTCTGGCTCTGGAAGCTTTTGCCGCGGCCTTACTGGACAGTTTCCAGTGCACTGTGGTCGATGCAGTAGTCATGTCTTTCTAGCTCTCCACAGGACGTGGTGCAAGAAACTTGCTGGATCCTGCTGAGGCAAGAGGATCTGGAGCCGGAGGACATGAGCAAGTTTTTAATGTCGCGGCCCAAGGGCCGACACAACCAGGTACCGTCCAACCTGTGGCGAGCGAGCCAGAATGATTCAAGGTTCTGCACGTCTTGCAGTCGCGCGCCGCTGTTGGGGAAGTCTGGCTGAATTCAAGCGCATGCTTCCCTGCATGGTGGAACGACAACTGCGGACACACAGACTGGCTGAGGTTTCAGAACTTGAACCCGAAGTTCTGTGTGCACCGCGTGCCAGATTCAGAGCGACTTCCAACCAGTGCGACGCGACTCGGCTGCAGACTGACAGACAGAACTCGTCTCTGCAGAACAGATGCTTCAGTTTAGGTGTGCCAACTTGCTGAAGCTGCCGGACTATGTCAGCTACGAGAGTTTGAAGTCTAAAGTCTTGCAAGCAATCCGCCGCGGCCTTGCGTTGCCTTCTGCACTCATGTGAAGAGAATATGCGAGACATGTGTCGCCTGGATGGTGTTGACAGGCGCAGAAGCTGGCTTTGATTTGAGCTAGGGTCCCAACATGGACATACAAAGTTAGGGCGTAGTTTTCGGATGTTTTCGGTAAATCGCCGAAGATCTGCTGTAGTTGTTTGTAGGCTGGGAGTGTGCCTCACCCGGCGATTTCGACGAACAGTGCAACACAGCAGAAGAAATCGCCAGATCCGAGATCAGTCAGAATGGCATTCAGTAATTGGGCCTCGTCACCCGTCCTTACTGAAAGAATCTGCAATGCAATCCTGTCGCCCAGCCAAACGCATGTGTCGAATCACCGGAGGCTTTCAGACGTGTCAAGCACCTTCTTACTCTGCGAGGCTTCTGCAAACAGTAAGCATGATTTAAATTTCCGCAGCTGTTTGTCCTGCTTGAGGGGCAGGCACCGTAGCATAACGAAGAATGCGCCTGGAGCTTTCCTGCGTCAGACTCCCGGCGATCTCTGGACCAACTATATGGCCAACTCCCGAGTCCAGAGACCCTCAGGTAGTCGTTTTCGACATTCTCCTCTTTGTGCAGGCCAGGGCCTCGTGCGTGAGACGGTCACATCGCATTGCCACATAACATAATAGTAGTGCCATCGCACCAACATGAACTGCTCTTGTTGAATTGCTTGCTGCGAGGTGAATTGCAACAAGTTGAATGTGGTGCCTTGGCTGTGGTATTGGTTGGAGACACTTGGTACGAACGGAAGACTGACGTGCTGCAGGCGAGCTTGAGTGCGGCGCTCGGCGGCAGGGGCCGTGTGCCAAGTTTCGGCAATGCGGTCACCTTGACTAGCATGGCAATTGATGTCACCGAGGCGATAGTTCCGAAGATGGCGCCTGGACATTCCAGGCCTTGGCAGTACAGACGCAAGCATCCGCAAGAAGAATCCTCGATTGTGCCGAGGCCGCTGCTCCCGCACCGGCGCCGTCACCGAATTTCCAGACTTTCGACTCTGCTCTGGGTCCCCGTGGCGTGCGTGGTCCTGCGGGGCCGAAGGGCAGAAAAGGACGGACGGGACGGCGAGGCCCGCCTGGACCACCTGGAGGTCTAGGCATGCCTCCCTTGGGGTCCATGCCGATGCCGTTTGCGTATCCATATATGATGAGCCCGTTCATGAACCCGATGAATCCGATGGCCATGGGCCCGTTCGCGGGATCTCAGCCTGCGAGCCCGTTCGCGCAAGTCCCTCTAGCATCTCCTGCTCCAGCTCCAGTCGAGGCAAGCGGCCAGCCATGACAAGTCTGTAATAGCACTGCAAAATTCTCCTCTGATTTGACAGCACTGTCTCTCACTGATAGTTAGATAGTATCCAGGCCACGACAACGCAGCCAGCGGCCGCCCTGTCGCCCAAGGCTGCAGTGGAGTACTTTCCTGCGGTGCCTGCATCTTTGCCGAAGTTTTTGGACGATCGCCTACATCATATGGGTTCTGGTAGTCCTCCGAGGCACCGGCGCCTGCTGCCGTGGAGGCTTCTTTTGCACACATGCAGGCCTTGTGACTTCCCGATGCAATCTGACAATTTCCCAACATCAGGCGGCAACGTTCGATGAAGAGTCGACAGCAGCATCAGAAAATGCTGCGCCGGCGACAACGGCACCTGCTCAGCAAGACATCCTGCCTGTACCCGTGCCAGCAACTATTCCGGCGAGTTCGCCACACTCTGCTGCATCGGTTGTCAGAACACCGATGACTCCGGTGCCCATACCTGCTCCAGCACCGGCTGCAGCAAGTGCACCGCTCGCCTCTCCTGCGACAGCACCTGTTGCAGTTGCAGCAAGCGCACCATACTCTGCCACTGCTGGTCCTGGAGGGATTGTGGCTCCTGCACCAGCTGCCATTACGCCAAGTGCCCCTAGCACACGTGCCAGAAGTGGCAGCGGTGGTCAGCAAGCCGCACATTCCAGTGCTCCTTCAGCGTCACAGGGTTCTGGAAACGAACGCGAAGCCGCAAGTGTGCCGGATGTGCCAGGGCCCGCCAAGTCCACAGCGAACGTCAATGACAGCTCGCCCGCACGGCAGCCCCACGAACTGCCAGAAACTGGCAGCGCATCGTCAAGCGAGGCCGAGGCCAAGCAACCCGCCTCATCTGCCAAGAGGCCCAGAGCTGAGCTGTGCGCCAGGGCTGCGATGTTGCAGATCTGTACAGGCACGGTGTGAGCTTCCGCTGAGGTCTGCCAGTGCTGCAGAGGAGCATTCTTAGTACTCGGGCTTGACGTGTCTGCCTGTGTTGCTGCCGACTTTGGGGATTGCCGTCTTAACGGGATCTGCTGCATTGCTAATCGGGGATAAGTGGAATTCAATACCTTTGGATGGCATTCCTTGGCTCAAGATTCTGTGAAGAAATGCTAGCTGGCCTTTTCAGATCATGGTTTGCCGTCCTGGTTGTGACACAAGCTCAGCTACCTGGAGTTACGGCCTTCCAGATGCAAGCAGCAAGTGAGCAGTCTGGAAATATCACATTGTGCCCGCATGCCTGCTCCGTCGTCGACAAATCGAGGACATTCTTGGCGCGCTTGACCAGCTGTCGAGCTTTTATACTGCATTGCAGCAGGCCACGCTTGGGACTTTACGCCTAATTCACAGGAATAGGCAAAAGTCAGACCTTGCTCAGTCTTGGTTTGAGTCTGCCGCTCCGGACATCTTGGTGACTGTGTGGGACCATTCCATACAAGTGGGGAATGGATGCGTCGTTCGTGGAGACCACACCGAGCCAGAAATTCAAATCTCGGTCCTCTCGGCTTGCTCTCCACAGCCGCTTAGGGGAGCGTGTCGCGGTGATGCTGGCGTAAGTTGCGGTAGTGTTTTCGCTCATGTAACAAAAAAACACGGCCAGTTTGGCTGCCCGGCCTGACTGGCCGCAGCGCAGGCCGACTTGGTGGGTGCTTTGGAAGGCCAGGGCTGCACGAGACTCAAAATCATTCAACTCTTGGCATTTCGCATGCGATCCAGTTCCAGTCCCCTGAAGGAGCTGGCCCATTCACGGAGACTGCCTTTGCATTGGTCAGTTTTTGGATATGGCTGCACGTGCAGTATGTTCGGCAGCCTCCAACCCGAAGATTTGCCTAACCTATTATATATAGACCACAGACTGACAAATTCGATTCTTTGCTTGTGCTGCTGCGCAGGTGTTTGCTCCCAGCAATGATGCGATCGATTTGCTGGGTCCTGGAGTTTTCGAGACATTGAAATCTGGACGGAATTCCGAGTACTTGTTGGACCTGTTGCAGCATCCGTGCTCAAGTTGGCATTCGTTCATTTGCGTGCATAAGACTCATGCGTTGCATAAACTGCAACTTTGCCTTGAATGATCTTGAATTCGTGACGTATATCGAGCCGGTACTGACCATGGACTATGGAAAGGCACGTTGCTGTAAGCAATGTCGAGAGTGTCGACTGCTCCAAGGTACCACGTGGTGTACGCCGACGTCCGAAGCAGGTTCGCCCTGGCATACCAACGAGAAAGCAGCTGCAATGTTGTGTAGAGATAGGCCCTTCAGCGAGGAGTTTATTTAAGTCTTATAAATGCAACCAGAAGCATAAAGATCGACGGGCAGTGTGCGCCGCAGAAGTCGTCCTGCAACATGATTTTCACAAAACAGACCAACATAGCCGCGGGATGAGAGCAAGAAGGCACCGATCCGCGCAAGCTGAAGCGTTTATCACTCTTTGATGCTGCCAGGGACATGACGCCTGGACAGACTCTGATGACTTGGAGCTCAGAAACTGTAACCATCACTGAAGTGGCGCCAGCGGTTCGCACCTAGGTCATTGATGGTTTGTTTGAAGTCGCGATAATTCTGTCGGGTACTGCTACGGGTTTTTGAAAGAGGGACGCTGTTTTGAGGTGAAGGTCTTCAGACCGCTGAGTGCTTGTTTCCTGCATGAGGACTCAACGGTGAGGCTCAAGTGATTCAGGCAGACGTGGAGGCTTCGAACGGCATGGTGCCGGCCTGAGAATGGAAGGCATTGGAAGGCCTTCTCAGGTCGGACTGCAAAAAAGGACGGGTGACACTGTGCCTAGGTACATATTCTTGCACGTGTTGCGCGGCCCAGCAGCTACAACTTTCCGCCGCCATTGCAGAACATCAAGGAACTGACGCAGACATCTTCGTACTTGGCCACCTTCTCGAGGGGTTTGCAGCTCAACGGGCTCTCTGAACAGTTCTCTGACCCTCGAGCAGAATTCGAGTCTCTGATGCAAGTAGAAGTTTGTGAAGAGCCTGCATCAGTTCTGCGTGCCGAGACATGCTGAAAGCCGCTTGAGAGACACCGAGAGACAGTGGCAAGACAGAGTTGCTTGATGCAACCAAGGCACTGACTGTCTTTATGCCCACAGACACAGCATTCCAGAAACTGGGACTGGGCATAGCTACCTCACTGATGCTGGATGCGAACCGCGAACATCTGCTCTCTTTGATCCGTAACCATGCAGTGCAAGGTGTAGTGGACAGTTCCTCGTTGTCACTTGGACAAACCCTGAAAACACTAGCTAACGGGGAAATCTCGATTACTTCCCTGGTGCCAACAATGCTGATCAATGAGCTCGCCACTGTGATAAGTCGTGATGTCCCTGCAACGAATGGCATGATTCAACTCCTGGATACCGTTCTCTTGCCGAGCACATGGCTCTATCCGGACAAGACGATCTTGGAAATCGTTTCCAGAAGTCCAGATTTGACAATTCTGCATAGTGCCCTTGTGCGAGCAGATCTTGACTGGGTATTTGCAAGCAGCCTGGCGGCAAGTACAAGGACTTCGCATTACGCTTCCGGGCTTCGGAATCTTCCGGCTTGAGCACGCAGTCGCACGTGTAAAGCTGTAAGACGATCTCAGGTGCTTCTCCTCATACTTTGCTTGCTCCGACGGATACTGCTTTCCAGAATCTGGGCCCGGGCGTTGCAAGCAGCCTTCTGTAGCTCGCTGCACGTGATCATTGTGATCATAGCCGTTGCCGTCTTCGGGTTTTTGTAGTTCCACATGACAGAAAGCCTTTTGAATCATGGGCTGCAGGCTCTCATCCAACAAAGATGTTCTCGCCAGAGCCCTGGGCATTTCGCTTGGTTGGTGGCCTGTTTGTTTGTGACAACGTTTCGTTAGGTCGATCTGCTGCAGGCGCACGTATTCAGCGATCACAGGCCAGGCATGATGAATACATTCATGCTACAGGGTGCAAAGGTTTCCGCAGACGGTTTTGTGTTTGTGTGTCTCTCTCTGTGAAGGCGCAGCACGGTCTCTTGGACAAATTTGGCATAACTGCACGTCTGTTCAGCTCTGTGTAGGCCGTTTGCAGGACTTGGGTTAGGGTTCCCTTTTGGGGGTCTTTTTCTCTAGTTGTCGAGAAGGCACGGTTTCCTGGACTTTCTGAGGTTAGCTGGACTCTAGTGACTCTGGTGGTGACAAACATACGAAAATGCGAGAAAGTTCGGCTTGGTCTTTTTCGCCCACACGGTCAAGGTACGTATGACTTCGAGAGGTTCATTGTAGGACCTGTACAGCAAACTACGCGTTCATGTCTTTATCATCTTTATAGACCTCTAGTGCCGGCAATCCACGGAATCTCTGGACTCCTCTTTTCCGATCAACAAAGTGTCCCCGAGCTTCACAGGCAAGGCCGCAATCTTGGGCGAAGAAGCATTCCATGGTTTCTGAACACATGGGCTCTACTTGTACCAGTAAACTCAGCTACCTCAACTTAACACCTCTTGTATTCCGCCAGGCATGTCCAACCTTTACTACCTTCTTGTATTGAAACTTGCTTTTCCGAGCGTAAGAGCAAGGGTACATGTTTGGGCTTTACTAAGCAAAACCCCGCACATCTCGTATCGCCAAACCCAGAGACAGCCTAGTTTCCAAGACCGGGCAACGCATCATTCGAAAGCCAGCATAGCTAGTGCTAGGTACGATTGGTTTTCCAGCTGAGGACATGGTGGCCAGAGCCAGTTTGGTGACAAAAGACGGCAAGACGGTCATCGTCGATTCGCTCAGTCCTTTAACTTTCAACGGAGCAAAGGCGTCGGACTTGTCCTTCCCAAATTCATGCACATGCCTAAACTTGGGTGTTAGCTCTACCATCTTCTAGAGGACTACGCTATTCCGAAGTCGCGAGGGCTCGTCCCAGGTCCGGTACAGGTTTGTAGAACCGATCCGCTACGTCCGGTACGCGGTTTGAGACCGGAGAAACCTAGGCACTAAACCCTGCTGCATGTTATTGCAGCTTACTCGTTATGACGATCCCTACATTCCAGCTATAGTAAGGAGATATGATTAGCGTTGGCCATCTCATCCAGGGTTCCCTAGGAGAGCGATCACTAAGCAGACTAGCCAAATGACAGGCCCGCGTGCAGGACGTCCCTGCGACCAACGGACTTCTCCATGTTTTGGAAGGAGTTGTGCTGCCGAATGCTTGGCGTTTTCCACATAGAAGCTTCATGCAGTTAGCGAACAAGGAAGCAGATCTTGCAGAGTTTACCCGAGCAGCGACTGCAGCGGGAGTGTTGGAAGAATTCCAGGCCGACGGCCCATTCACGGCTTTTCTGCCTAACAACTATGCCTTCTCGGGACTCGGGAGCTCCTTGGCCACGCTGCTGCAGCCGGAGAACGTCGAGATGCTCCGAGGTGTGCTCAGATACCATGTCGTCGCCGGGGGCCAAGCACTTCTGAGCAGCGAGCTCACAACCCCCCGAGAGCTTGATACGCTGCTGCCCGGGACGACGGTCCGAGCCGTGCCGTGGACTGACCTCGGCTGGGCGGGCATCGCCTACGACAGCGCATCGCCTCCCGTTGTCATCAACAGCGAGGCACAGGTTCTGATTAAGGACGTGCTGGCAACAAATGGGGTGATACACGTCATTGATAAGGTGAGGCTTGGATACAATTCGGCAAAGTGCCTTTGAGTCGACCGCAATGTACCCTTCCCAAACACGGAAGCCTGTCCTGGTGCAACTTTGATGTACTTTGTTTTTCACCTCAGGTTGATTCCTCCGGGTCTCGACCTCACGACGCCTTCGCCTTTCACAACGTTCCAAATTATTGCAAGCAGTCTGGCCCTAGGCCCAGTGCGGAGCCTTTGGATTTTGCTAAGCATCGTATACATGAGCAGCCAGGCATAGCGGCGGTTTGTACTGACATGTACCGACATGCACACCTGCCGAAAGAATCACAAAGAGTTATGCGTTGATCCACTTGGCATTCTCGAGCTCCCCATTCCCGTCATTCCCGGTAAACAGCGCTGGCAGCGCTCATGACAATTCGACAGCACAACATTACATGCAGGCCTGCAGGCATGCAGCAGGTTTTTCGACAGTTGCCTGTGCTGGCGGAAAGCGCATGAAGTGCTGGCGGAAAGCATTACGACGCGACGACGATGCCTTTGTACAAAGTAGAAAGTGCATTATCTTTGCGTTCCAAGTCGCAGCGGTAGAGCCCCGAAGGGGCTGGAATTGAGGGTCGCCAAGCTCAAAGCCAAAAAGGTTGGTTTTGCAGAAGTGGAGAGGCTTGAACGGACTGTAGAGTGCGATTCGCTGGGGCCGGTCCCAGTTGGCAGCCGCATTGTCAGGAGGTGGCCACAATCGTGGACTACCTGCCATTCGTCCCTTGGGGTCACGTCCCGTGCATGCTGCACACTTTGCTATGCTTGCCTATCTCTGGCTTGTGTAACCCTCGCTGCTTGTCAGGTCTTATCGATGATGTTGCGGGGACGAACTTCACTGAAGAGTGAACAGCAGGTTGAGGATGTGGCTCTCTGTGCGAAAGGAATAACCGGCCCTAATCGGCCAAGCAAGTTTAGCTCGAAGCCCTCTTTCTTCGATTCTAGACGAGTCTGGAGCACATGTCAGCGAAAGCAAGACTAGACTGCAGGTCTTGGCTCAGATTCATGCTGGGCCGGGGGCAGTAGTCCGGGTTCTAGACCCGCAACGAAGTGGCGGGACCTCTGCTGAAGAATTGTGACTTAGACCGCTCATTGGCTCACGAAAGGCCGGGCGGCGATGTTTGCAGCCCTGCCCCTGGCCCTGGCTGTGGTGGTCGGGGCCAGGCAGGCCCCCTCAGCTCCCTCAGTGCCTTGGATGATGCAAGAGTCGAAGAACCCAAAGCTATCCAACGACACTATCTACTTTCCGAGGTGAAGGTGCACCTGCTCTCTACGGAAACAACTGCAGGGCTGCTCCGTGGAAGCCCGCGGCCCAAAGTGTCCATCGCATTGTGGCCAATGCAGAGGCAGTGCAAGAATACAGCTAAGGTGCTGAGACTGTCCGAGCTCTTAGAGCTGCAAAAGATGAGTCGTTAGCTCGTCGTGCTTGCTGAGATCCGCAACATGATGTCGCGTCGTCGTGACTGCACCGCTCAGGGCGAGGCTTTTGCACAACAGCGTCGCCCTTTCCAGGCTAAGAGACGAACGCATGCAGGCCGGCCGGGTTTTGTCGGGGTGCGAGCCAAGTCCCAGCCTGGCAGGTGCACAGTGACAGCAGCGACGGGGCTCCCGCCCCCGCGCCTGCACCCATGCTTGCAAGCTCACCAGCTTTACTCGGACCGACAGGCCCCAAGGGACCAAAAGGCCCACGAGGCCCAAAAGGCCCTACGGGGGAAGCGGGTGATCCTGGCGACATCGGGCCACCCGGGCCACCTGGACCCACACTTGTGATGGGCTACAGCACCTATGCAAATCCTTACATGCTGCCAATGATGAACCCTTTCATGGGAAGCATGCCTATGCCACCGATGCCTCCGGCAGCTCCGCTGACGGCAGCTGGCGTGAGTGCACTTCCGGCAAGCTTGGGAACCTCCGTTCCTGCCAACGTGGCAATGCCCAACATGTCAGCTGTTCTGGAAGCGCAGATGCTTGGATTACATTCCCAATCAGGTTCAGCATGAAGGTGATTCCACGTGTCGCTGAGGAAATCGGCGGCGAGCACATACGCTAGTGTGGCCACTCCAGCAAATCCGCCCGCGAAGCCTGTCCAACCCGCGGCCTCTGCTGTCGCCGGCTTAGCAGCCGAGAAGCACCACGCTCAAGAAGCACGGCATCCAAACGCAGCGGCAGGCAGGGAGGGAGAGACAGAAAAAAAGAGAGAGCAAGGGCGAAACAGTTTAGAGGGTGCGGAGAAGATGCCTGATTTGGTTGGTGGAATTTTGATGAATTTTGGTGGACATGATTAGGGTACAGGGTCTGGGGGTGAGACAACAGCCAGCGGACAACTCGTTGCAACAGAACCTGCCTTTGGCTAGGCACTCCACTGACGGCCCCAAAAGAGCACAATCGGGGAGGGGGTGCCTAACGCGCGGGTCTGGTCGGACTCTTCCTCCGCGGAAGGACGGAAGGAACGAGAGCGAAATAAATGCAGCACGCGGCCGAGTAATCCAATCCGACAGTCAACCAAGGTCCTCGGACAGCCTCCAGGAATGGACGCAGGTCTGAGTGACCTGGGAATTAAGCCATAAAGCCCTTTAGGGAGATCGGCGTGTTTCGGAGACATTGGACATCTCTGATGTAGGAGGCTTGAGCGTGTTGTGTGTCGGCTGGGCAGGCAGAAATAAACCTCTGCAGGCAGAAGAGCCTCAGCTTGCAACAACGCAATGCGCGAAAAAACCTGCAAAGTGTCTGTTCGTTTTCCGCAAACTGAGGCTTCCTCTCCTTCAGACCTCAGTCATTCCAGCATCCACTTTCTGGAAAAGATGCGGAGATCCGTGGACAAGGTGCTTGCAAAAGAGACACCATGACCAGCTTTGTACGCAAGAGCCAACAGTTTCTCGCGTGATTTTTGTGTACACATGAGAAGGCCAAGGAGATTGGTTCTTACGTTCCGTTTGCGCCGTGGCAGAAAACATTTCATGCAGGGGTTGTGTTCCAATTCCGCACAAGCGCAGCTCACGATTCAAATTCGCTCAGTCAGGTTCCCTGGACTCTCCTGGATTCGGCCGTGAATCGCAGCGACAGTGAGAGACGTTAGTTTGAAGTGCAGAAGCCAATGAGCTCGACGATGACTTCGGCTCAAAATGGTTATCAAAAATTCTCCGTCACGGGGTTGGCCTGTTCACTCCTGACACAAGGTGCTGTAACGTTCGTGTAGGTGCGAGGTCACTGTGGGGACCACGAAGGCCGCGAGCTGGGTCTTTCTCCACTTGCTTCCCGTGCGCTGATCCATGCACCAAGCGAGGCTCTCCCTCGCGCGCCTATAGGACGGGAGGAGGCGGGAAAGCTCGTTGCTGCAGCGAGGTCAGAGTGAGAAATGTCACAGAAAGGCCATGGGATCCTGGTGGATCGGTAGTTAGAAGCATGTGCCGGGTAGGGCAGGCCCACCACGCAATTCTCGCGCAAGACTTCACTTCATATGCTGTCTTTGCTTCAGCGCAGCATGTCCAAGTCCAAGCCTTTTAGAAAGCGATCCCTTCATCGCACGTCACGGGCCGAGCCGTGGAATGCGCGAGAGCGAAAGCGAGTCGGAGTGACGCGAAGCGAAGCGAAGCGAATGCTAAGGCTGCTAAAGGCCGGGGCGAGCGCTTGGCCGAGCTCGCGCCCGTGGCTGGAGCCGGCGGCCGAGTTCTTCTGAGCTCGGCCCTCGTCACCTCCGGCGTCTTGTGACAACCGAGGCGCCATGGTGAATATGCAGATGTTCTTGAGCTCTCCCGACTTGGCCACGCCGCATGGTGGGAGTCTGGAGATCCTGCCTTGCCGTGCTTCCTGGACAGACCTTTCTCCTGTGACCAGGTGGGCCTCCCTTCCAAGGCTGGCGAAAAGGCACTGTTGTGCTGTGTTCGTAATGTCATTGCGGGGCTGGAAGCCCGACGGGCGTCAAGGGAAGACTGCCGGATACACTGCGAGGATTTGGCTTCGGGCACAGCCGAGGTCCAGGTGGGTACGTGCCGCTCTTGGTCAAATCTAGAATCTAGAAGAAACCAGAGCATGCAGCAGGCAGCATTCCGCAACCCGCTGTGCCCAGATGCATGAACCCTCCATGGTTCTCAAGTTGAAGTGCAGTCCGAAGTATGACCGCACTCTTGCAAGCAGTCCCTTGGTTGCGAGAAGAGACATGCCTGCACCAACTGTACTTTGCGTAGTGATTTGGGCAGCAGGTGCTTTCTGGCGAAAGAAGTGGGAGTTGGGCCAGGCCAATAGTTTCGGCATCGGTGACCGTGCCATCCCCAGCTGATGCTTAGTGGCTTAGCGAAGGAGGGCTACCTTGTACTGCGAAGTACATGTGAAGCTTAGAAGCGCGAAGCAGAGGCCCATGCTTTGGATGCACTAGGTCCGAGCTACAGCAGACCGGAGGATGCGGACGTGGGTCCAAACACCTACGGCGACTTTTCGAAGCAGGTTGACAAGGCCGGCTTCGAAAATCCATCGCTTTTCAACAAGACAGTTCGGGGAATGAGGTGAAGCGAAACGCCATCCGACCCGGCATCAAGCTCAAGGAGAGGTTTCCGACCTTTGAGGAGACAAAGCGGGATACTTGACTTCCCTTCCAAGTGAGGGAAGTTGGAGAACCAGGAGAAGAAACGGGACTCCCGGTCCGGCGTCAGCGGGCCAGGGCCTGCCAAGTACAACACGAGCCTGCCTGCAGGCCAGTACATGAACAGGGGCTGGTTGCATTGCTCCCGACACCCCTACAACAGTGGGCCGCGGTTTCCCTGAGTGCGAGGCAAGTCCTCCTGGGTCTACCCCGCGAGGACACGGCACTTGCATGTGTGCATTTGTCTTTTCCTGGAGCTCAGCAAGCCAACAACCCACGCGAGGAATCCAACGTGGTCACTGGGTGCACGGACCATCCTGGCTCAGGACAAGGAGTGCGGACCTTGTTACGCGCTCCTCAAGCCACATCGTGGATTTGAGAGCACATGGCATCTTAGCCGCCTTGGCCTTGAGGCCGTAGGGTGCCAGTCGATGCTAAGGACCTTGGGCAAGCCTGGTCCCGATGCATACAGTTGCATAACGCGGCCAGGAACAAACTCGCCTGTTCTGTGCTTTGGCCAAGACTTGTGTTTCAGTTGGCCTGCTTGCCACCAGCGAGTGACGACGCAACCAAGCGCAATCTAAGGCGTGGCACTTTGTATGACATAACTCTAAAGACCAGGACGAAGGCCAGCGGCGGCACTGCTCGGAGTGCTGTCTGACTTGCTGTCCTGAGACCTTTCACAACAAGCCAAAGGATGAACAGTTTGCGGTGTTGAGAGGTTCACCAGCTGGGCGAAGCAAGCCCCGGACCAGCACGCTACAACGTGCAGGGCGAGCTGGCAAAGTAGCTCAGCCCCATTACATAATGCATGTGCACACCTTGAACGGTCAAGCAAGTCGAGCGACTGATCCGGCAAGACTGGCTCAGTGTGTCTCTGCAGAACCGCAGCGTGGGTCTGTTTGCCAGTCCGCTGACCTCGCGGCGGCAGATGTTCTCCTTCGTGTAGTCCTGAGTCATGTATGAAGGTATGGTCTCGACCAGAAAATTGCCAACGTCAAGGTGCGCCCCGATATGCCCCAATCAGACTGAATGTGAGGCGATGTCAGGCGGGCCGCGGGTGGTACTTGCGGTGCGTGGTAAGGTCCCACGGAAAGCTCCCCCGTCTCCCGGGATGAGCAGTGGTCTCGGAGGTTATGTCCGGTCGTTATTGTACGGCATTCCCATGCTCGTGGCAGAGGTGTCAATGAGTGGTGAAAGCTTTCCAAACTTTCCGGACTGCCTCTCATGATTTAGGTATCATTCTGGAAGATGAGGATCTCGGTGCGGGGCTGGGTTTCCTGTTCGGCATCTTTACAACAGAGCTGGATGGCAGACGCCCTTTGCATGTCCTGTGCCCGACGAAGGTCTTGAAGCAGACAGGCCCGACTCGACTACGGCTTCTTTAACCTAGTAGACCTAGCAAGTCTCTAGTAAACCTATTCGGATCTCTACCTCCCCTAAATAGAACCTCGGGGAGCCTTGCCGGCCTTGTGGGAGTGAGTCGAAATTAAGCTCAGGGTGCAGAACTCTATGGGCCTGACCGACCACGCAGCTTGCAGGCTGCCGCGAGTTGAAAGCTCGCATTTCTGACGGCCTTAGTAGGGTGATCGCTCTAGGCATTTCGGCTATGCAGGAGATCCCTGAAGGGACGACTGCTGACTGCTTTCTGGCGGCTTTAGCGCCTTTTCTGGCGGCAGGGCAGGCGGCCGGCCTACCCTGCCAAGTGCAATCAAGTCCGCTAGGCATCATTGCTCCGGCGCACAGTTGTCAATTTTTTTGGGTGTCTTTGCCGAATGCCCGACCGCTTCAACTGTTTCACTTGCTGATAGGACTCGGCGAGCATGTGCATGACAAAAAAGCCTCAGGCGACTTGTGGCTCAGGCGGCCTCACTAAAGATCTCCCTGTTGCAGGTGGCCAAAGCCTCGACACGGCATTCGCCTTACTGTGAGAGTTTCTGTGTCGCCAGCGCAGAGGCGAGGTGCAGGAGGTGCCGTCAACAGGGACGATACTGAGAGACACCTGTTTCTCGCTGTTGGCTCCAGATTTAAACTCCCGCTTCGGCAGAGAGTCGTGAACATGAAGCATGGATACCAGCAATTTCGGAAGTCGTATCCTGCAAGTTGCCACAGTGATTTTTGTCGGTTCGGTGCATTAGACAGTCCGGATTTGCCTGACTGCTTTGCACGCCATGGGAGCTTGCGTGTCAAGTGTACTTCAGCAGCAGGTACTCTGATAGGGCCAGTTCAGCCTGTTGCATTTCTGTCAGTATCAGTACTCAGGACTTAGGCTTCCCCGTGTCCAGCTGTGTCTCGCAGCTCCTGCCAGTCAGTGTTCGTTGTGCATTCTGCCCAAGTCTTGAGAAAACGGAAACCACCTTATGTTGGAAGCCCAGGTGCTGCCCTGCAAGAGCAGCTCTTTGATGGGAGAGGTTGAAACTGTACAGTCGGAGAAGATGGCAGGCAGGATGTCACTTTGCACAATCAGATGGAAACGAGGAGTTGAGTGTGAGTCAGCTTGATGAGCAGCTACTGATGTTCCGGAGGTGCTTGAAGCCCATAGTTGATTTGGGGTAGTCAGGAGTAATGCGGGGGGCTCCCCGCCATTGGAGATCACTACGATTGAATGCAGGTCGCGTTCCTGGCGTCACGGTATCTTTGGAGGCCCCAAGAAATCAGCAGCTGTTGTGTTCCCAGTTCAACCGACGCGTTCTTCGGAGGCTGTTAAAATGGACATTGCGGAGGAAGCTGGCAGTCCCAGTCCTCTTCTAGAGGCCGTGGCGACCTCTTGTCACTTGAGTTCGGCCTTACCAGCAACTGCTGTTGTTGTTCATACTCCGTTGAGGCAGTGATGGCCGGTCGTATTTTGGATATGGAGCGAGCCCAGGCCCGAAGAGGGCCGCATCGCTTGTGTCAGTTCTCTCCTTCTGGGGCTCCTCATTTGCCTGAGTCCGACAGCCGAAGCGTTCCGGCGACAATTTCCAGGCAATTGCCAGAGACATTGCGAAGCCGGACTACACCATTGGCAAGTACTTTCAGGCAGGACGCGTAGGCAGGTACTTGTAGGACAAAGTTGGAGTGAGTGTATGCAACCGTTGCTGCCGACCGGTTGCCTCAGGACCTGATGGCCACTTTTCCAGAGCTGCATTTGTTTGGCCTTGAGGGGCTGCTTGCCTGCCGGTCATCGGTGAATCAGAGCCATGAAGACAAGCCAAGTGCCGCAAGAGCCGACGTGTCACGGACTTCCCGTGAATCCTAGGATGTCTGTTGACACGCTGGAGTTCAAACGCGATGTGCTTCTGGCAGCACAAAATTTGGATGGCATCCAGTGGGCAACGGGCACCCACGGGCATTATATCAGTTTTGTTTTACAAGTCGGCTTCTGTGATTCTGTCTGCGCTGACCCTATGTGCTGTAGGCTCGAGTTGAACTGTCTCGTTAGATCTTGTGAGGTCCTTTATGGCGGACGAGTGGCCGGAGATGAGTTCCAAAGAACCATTGGAGCATTCTTTGCCATTTACTGGCTATTGCGTTGCGGTGACGCAGATGGCTTTGCAGGGCCTCGAATCTAGAACTGATAGCGACTGCCACATGTGTGTTAAGGTTCGAGCATTGATGGCAAGCACGGGTTTTGTCATGGGGTCGATGACTCCTGGAGGCACGCTCTTCGCTGTTTGCACAGACCACAGACACACTTAATCTATCAACTACTTAGAGAACTCTGATATACGGGCCCTGCCAGCTGCCCTGCTGTAATCTGGCTGTGAGAGTAATTATCCAGAATCCAGAGTCGGGTGTCCTCTATCTTGGCTAAACTTATGGCAACACCTTTGCAGGCCATTGCCTTCACGTGACGGTGAGAGCGACAAGTGTCGTGCTCCGCGGCCTGCGATGGCTGGGATACGGGGAGGTTGTGTGCATTGGCTCCTTCCTGAAGGGGACTCCCAAGGGGCAGTAGCGGCAGCAGCAGCAGCAGCAGCAGCAATCGAAGTGTGCAAACATGCACATTGACATATCGGAAGAAGATGTGATCAGCCTCGCTCAGCGGCGAAGTTTTGCAAGTGTTGCATAGATTGACGCGACGGTGAGCCGGGAATCACTGACTCTCGTGCATAAGGTTTTCTACGGCGATGAGACGATATGGAAGTACTTCCAGGACCTGATGCTCGATGCAGGAGAGAGAAGCTGGATTTCGCAGGGTTTCTCTTAAGGGTAATCGGAGTCGTGGGAGGCGTTCTCGTCCAAAAGGGCTCGAAGCTGGAAGTGGACTCCGAAACGACCCTGGCCCTCCTGGTGCTGACCGCAGCGGCCTCAAGCGAAGAAGCTGTTCTGCATCACACTGGGGAAGCCCCAGCCTACGGTATCATATGATCTGAGGCCTTGCATGACGTGATGAAGGTCAGCTTGTTGCTGCCGGTGGTTCAAAAGGCTGATGCTCCATACAGAGGTGCCTTGGTCGAGGTGTCGGATCTAATCTCAGCTTTGATTGCAGCGCTGTCCGAGGCTATGGCGAGTCGGAGGTCATTGCAGACCATGATCTGGAAGCTTGTCTCGAAGGAGTCAGAGGTGCCAAGAGTGCCCATCTCCCAGTTTTTGGGACCTGTGCCCCTGGTGTAACCGAGGCAATTTTTTATCTCATCGAGCGCTATCCGCAGCTGCTGCCATCGCTGAGCCGCTTTGGTGAAAACCCGTGTGTAGCACAGTTCCTGTAGATCAGAACTGCCTCTGAGGCAGTTTGAAGCCCGAGCTGCAGTCCTCCGTGCAAATGGTGCTCAGCGGCCTTGCCTTCAACAACGGCCCCTGGGCGACGGCACGTCACGGCACGTTCCCGGCATCTCCCGGGCCGCCGGCCACCATGTGCTGCACTGCTCCGAGGCTGGTTTGTGCAAGCGGAGGCTCCACCAGGACGTCGAATGCGCGGCCCTGCGTATAGAAATAGGTAGCGTCGCTAATGGTCGCATTGTTGCAAGGTCCACAACGTGTGACGGAGAGAAGGTTTAGGGCTCGGACAGTTCCGGTTGGGGTTATTCTAGCCTTTGCCTCCGACCTTATGGCCCGCCACCAGATACTGAAATAGCTGCGTCGGGCGGCTATTGCCATGTCGCGGGCGGGGGACCTTGTCTCATGCGTGATAAGAGAAAGAATCAGAATAGTCGTCGGACAAGTGGTTTTATTCTCCTCTCGCTTCGCTGCAACATCCACTCTGCAGGAGCAGTGTTGCGGGGAATCAAGGCTGCAATCACTTCGCAGAACAAGACACTTAGCCGCAACCACAACAACTGTTGTTTCCGTTGCACAGGGAGCATTCATGCATGTTTTGATTGGTTTGCTCGACAGGGTTCGAGTCTTCGGCAGCACCGACAGGTCTGATCGACAAGTCAGCAAGCGAGACTTGAGCTTGTACTTTGTACACTGGCTGACGGTCTGGAGCTCGGACACGTCGAAACGCAGCGAGGAGAGGCCGAGACAGAGCCGGACACTCTTGCCAGGATCTGGCCGGCGCCGAGCCTTCGCCATTGTTTGGATGCCTAAAGCTCACCAGCCAGCTTCCTCTTCCTGTGCTGACGCTCGGCCGCATGATGCCTGACGCTACTTGCATTTGCACAGCGTGGAATGGTCGTGCAGCAGTTGGCAGTCAGGAAGAGCTTCATGGAGTCGGTGAAGCCGCTGGCAAGCACTTTGCAAATGTGTTGTGTGGACGAGTGTCACACGCGTCGCGAGAAGCAAGCCACACTAAAGCCACTAATTAGTTGCTCAGGTACATAGAGCAACTGGCAGAGCGCACCGAGACGGAGGTTATGGAAAGCTACTTGAAGGAGCCGCCACATATGCTCATGCAGGCCGTGCAGGCTTAGCAAGCGTTTTGAACTCGATCGACCCCCTCGTAAATTCGTCAGGGCCTGGGACCAAAATGCAAAAGACGCGGGAATTATAGCTTGTGGGGCTTGCCGCACAAGTTCGAGCAAAAAACACCTATCCTGAATCCGGACACAGCGCCAAAAAACGCAATGAAAAAGACAACTTTGCACAGTTCTCAATCATGTGCCTTCTATGTTAGCCATGGTTGTTAGCCATTAGCCGGGTGTTCTGCGGTAGCACAAAATCTGCAAACGTAAAATATAATCACTTCTCAGACGGTTGATACAGCTCGTTACGACGACGACTGCCACTACTCGTCTGTGACTGGGTTTTCACTCTGCAAATTCCCAACACCCTGTGAGGAGAATGTAAGCACATGTGACATGTGTCACATGTGCATGCATAAGCCGCATAAGCATTGTGGCAGCTGCTCCGACTCACTTTTCCCATGGCGGATCCCCTAGTGCTCACGAATTGTTTCCAAGGAGGCAATTCCCCCCCCCCCCCTTCGCGCGGTACTGTAGCTCTCGCGAACTGTTGGCCCCCTCTGCGGTAGCGCTCGTGATAAAAAACCAAGCAGGCAGGCCCCCTGGCGGGGGTAGCGCTCGCGAATTTTTTTTCCGAGGGCGCCGGCCCCCCTGCGGTAGCGCTCGCGATTTGTTTTTCCAAGGAGGCAGGCCCCCTTGTGGGGGCAGCACTCGCGATTTTTTTTCCGAGGGCGCAGCCCGCTGTGCGGTGGCGCTCGCGATTTTTTTGCAAGGAGGCAGGCCCCCTTGTAGGGGTCGCTCGTGAGTTTTTCCGAGGGCGCCGGCCCCCCTGCGGTAGCGCTCGCGATTTTTTTCCAAGGAGGCAGGCCCCCTTGCTGGGGCAGCGCTCGCGACTTATTTTCCGAGGGCGCAGGCCGCTGTGCGGTAGCGCTGTGCGGTAGCGCTCGCGATATTTTTACAAGGAGGCAGGCCCCCTTGCAGGGGTCGCTCGCGAGTTTTTCCAAGGGCGCCGGCCCCCCCTGCGGTAGCGCTCGCGATTTTTATTCCAAGGAGGCAGGCCCCCCTTGCGGGGGCAGCGCTTGCGAATTTTTTTTTCCGAGGGCGCAGACCGCTGTGCGGTAGCGCTCGAGAATTTTTTCGGAGGTTCAACATCCAAGACACAAGATGAAAAATCCAGGCCAAACGTTAAAACTCCGAAAAAAACTTCGGTGCAAAAGTTAAAACTCAAAATAAACGGTTAAAATTCCGTGCGAAGAAGTGAAATTCCGCAAAAAAGTTAAAATACCGGAAACAGTTAAAAGTTCCAAAGCACTTGCAACTTTAACTTTGGAGGGCAATTGAGCAGAGCCTTATGCTTTTTTCTGGGGAAACCTTGAGTGAACAAAAAACACGCAGTTTGAGGCCCTGCTCAGTTGGCCTCCAAAGTTCAAGTTCCAAGTGCTTTGGAACTTTTATTTTCCAGAATTTTTCATGATTTACCAGACTTCTAATTTTTCGCACCGTTTCATATTTTTTTCGGAACTTCAGTTTTGCGTACGAATCTTTCACTGTTCTTCGGAACTTTAACGTTTGGCCTGGATCTTCAGCTTTGGTTTCGGTTTTGGATATTGATTTTTCTGTTGGAAGTATAAGAATTTCAAAAAAACTGGTTGGAATGTTGCGTTTTGTGTTTTTTGGTGGCCAATCCCCAGGCACTTTGCTTTTGAAGCGTTGGTCCGGGATGAGATATCCGGGTAAGGCCTTGGGGTGAGGCGCGTTGTAACGCATTCTCTTTATGCCCTCTGTATGCCTCACGTGCGCTTTGTGAAGGTACAATTTGTGTTTGATTTCTGTCGAATTAATGCTTTGTTGTTGATGTACTTCGGTGGGAGTTATGCCTTGTGCTTGGCTCTCGAAGGTTGCTTTGTTTCGGCGGGTCTAAGTTTCGCTGCGATTTGTGCCTAAAATTTACAAGGGACGATTTTAGCATAGCACGTGTAAGTCTTCCGGGACCTATGGCTTAAATCCCCTGAGGAGTCAAGGCAGAAATGCGTCGAGAAAGAAAGCGAAGATTAAGGTATGATTCTCGCAGAAGTACAGCAGAAATGCCCGAGAAATAAACCCCAAATCTCGGAGAAGTAAGGAATAGACAAAGCACAATACAAAGCTTAAATACCCATAGACAACAAGCAGAAACGTAGCAGGAGACATGTCCAAAGACGGGGCCCGGGAATGTGATAGAACTCGCATCCAAGCCTTGGGGAACCTGGTGTTATTCTGAGGTCGTTTTAGCTGGCGTTGCAGCATGGACACCAGCGGCCGACAGCACCTTACCAGCAGCTGACACTGCAATGGGTGTATGCGCATCCGGATCCTGTCCCACAAAACCTGCCACACCTACATCCTGATTCACACCTCCCCGCTGTCCGCATGAGGAAGTGCGTCGTGAATCTTTTTTCACGGTGGCTTCCGTGGTCGCTGCTTCAATGACCATTTGTACTACACTCCCTGCAGCTGCCTCAAGTGCTGCCACTGGATGTCGGCGGCTGGTCAAACCGCCCGCACAGAAGCGTTTTGGGTTTACCGACGTCGAAATCCGCCATGATGATTTCGGGGAGGGACAGGCAAGTTCGGCAGCCCTCCACTGTCAAACTTCCTGTGCGGGGATCCTCTTCTCCCGCCCAACAAGGCAGTCGATGCTGGCAGCTGATCAATCCAACCGCAAATATGCATTTTGGGTTTGCTGGCGTCGAAATCCGCTATGACGATTTCGGGGAGCGACAAGCAAGTTCGGCAGCCCTCCAATGTTAAAAGTCATTTCGGTTGCCAACCCACCTAGATTACCGAATTACGACGACCCCCTACGCCATATCGCGCTAAACGCACTTGATACCAAGCTTGCACAGACAGACATGATTCACATGTGCGGTTCATGTTATGCATTCTGCAGACACCGCGGGATACCGCGTGCAAGACAAAATTAGGCTGCAAAGCTGCCAAGAGTTATGGCGGAATAGTTGTGCAGCATGAATGTAGTGACTCTTGAGACAGTCCAATCTCGATGACATGATTAACTTAACGCGGGATGTTCGACCGAAGCAGCGCCTCCCGACAGTGGCCTGAGATGTATATGGCCTTTGGGTCCACAGGCAACTGACGGAAAAGTCTGAGTTTGCTACACTTAGGTGCAAAGCTCCGAGTTACACGTTACGGTGGCATACCCTGGGGCGCATTTTCCCTGCAATAGAAAATATAAGCGTGTTTGCTGGTTTCGTTTCTTTGATATGTGGTTGCAACGCAGCTGCCCGCAAAGTGGCAGTGACAAAACACTTCATCCCAAAAAAGGCGATAAACAGGCACAAGTTGCGGGAGATGTTGCAACTTGCAACTATCATCCTAGGCCCGACCCCAGGCCCGCCAAAATCAACCAGGTTTACCGAAAATCAACCAGGTTTCACCAAAATCAACTAGATTTCACCAAAATCAACCAGGTTTACCCAAAATCAACCAGGTTTCACCAAAA